AGCTATTCACGTGGAAACGTAACCATTGTAAGATTGAATTGTGCAGATGAGTCGGTAATTCACTAGTGATTCATGAGTCCTTCAAGCCTCAAGTGAGATTTTTAAGAAAACTCAAATTACATTCTGAGTGTTTGCTACATATCTGGATATAGAAATGTGATTCGATATTCACCAGTAGCAAACGTTTGATGAAATGGTTTGTTTGTTTGCTCATTGAAACCGCTTAACTTATCAGCGAACAAACCTTCATAAGACGAGAAGAAGTGATGTAGTTGAAGAGTTCGTCTACTTAAAATAGCTAAGTATTAGTCAACATCAGGATCGTCGAAGTTGCAGGCATATCATGTTGACGAGTGCTAAAATGACGAAAACTAGTAGAAGCAAGGCTTCCTGTCGAATACATCCAACCAACTGACACCCACCAAAGTGCACCACAATGTTGAATCTTCTAGCCTGATCACCAGAATTCAATCAGCATTAGATAAGATGAGAATAATTACTTTCTAGGGAATAATCAAGTGCTATACAATAAAAGTATCTGGCAGTTAAGTGAATACATCCACCTCCTATCAACTTGAAGAATTCCTGGCAGGGATAGATCTGAAGAAGTTCACAAATTCAACAACCATACTGATCATCCACGTTGATGAAGATTATTTTACCATTGAACAATGAATCCCATATATATATTCACAGACGACCATACACAAAGTACCTTCGTGTCAAGGAACTGTAATTGTTTGATGTCCTTCGAATGGTTCTGAAGGTCATCCTAGCAATGACTAAAATGACCAATCAGAACTCCAATTGGTTACTTTAGTAGTTGCCAGGGTAGTTTCTAGAGGCCCTCCATTTATCTAATGTAGAACATACCAATAAATAATTATTCTTTTCACTGATTGTATATATATTTATCACAGTAAATACTAAAGCTGTGAAGTGAAGCTTGAAATTTCCTATTAAATTAAGGCATCATAAGGACTCAGTCAAAGATATAGAACCATAGGTGTGAACAGTTTAAAACCAGATGTTAGGGTGTTTGTAATGAGAGAGTCTACACTAACAGAAACTTCAATTTTTTAGGGGTTTGTGGGGATTTAAGGATTTTTCAAGTTGGTATTCACCAGGGACCAACATCAGTTGGAGGAACACTGGAAATCTGAGAAAACTGGACAACTCAATCGTCCTAGTATGGAACTATTTACCACTGCACACCCATCACCCTGACCCACTCCACTAGGGATCCAACCCAGGACATCCAGGTTCCACGGCCAACATGTTACCATCCAGCCAATGAGTCAGAATTCAGTGATTCATATTTCCAACTTCTGTCAGTTCACGACGTAGCGCGACCATAACCCAGTATCATCCTTGAGTATTTGTCCTCACTTCCACTAAGTTCGCCCCACTGGTCACGACTTGTCGCTGGAACTGCAGGAATCACCTCTCAAAGCTAATCACCGATGAGCACTAAATCCCCACAAGTTCTAAATTAAACTGATCCAGTAGCTCATTGGAGATTAGCTTCGAGAGGTGATTCCTGAAGTTCCAATGACAAGTCGTGATCAGTAAGGCAAACCTGGTAGTCATATGGACAAATACTCAACGATGATATTAAGTGATGGTTGCACTATGTCATGAACTGATAGAAGTTGGGAATATGGATCACTGGATTCCGAGCCATTGGCTGGATGGTAATATGCTGGTCACGGAACCTAAAGGACCTAGGAAACACGTTTCCAATGTTCCTTTAACTGATGTCAATGCATGATGACCGTTCTTAGCTTTCTTCCGGCTTATTTATGTGAACCGAATGAGCATCGTCACACTTGGTAAGAATACTAGATGATTAAAGAAAAGTGAGCAATTGTTCACCCCCCCCCCCCCCCAACACCCCACAAATGAATGTTATCTTGGAATGCCAATTATTGGTTCACATATCATTAGGTCAATGATGATGTATAAATGAAAACATTCCTCATCAAACCTTCTAGTCACTAACATGATTGTTGTTGAGGTATACTGAAGAGTCCAAGACAGTGGAATAATAAACATTCTCAACAATCTTCTAGCTGATATCAGTCCATCATATGGATAGAACTTCTTTGATAATCCTTTATGTTAGCAACACTAAATCCTTAAAAGTAATATAAACAAAGGAATAGTCGTAATCAACTAATTAACATGATAAATAATTATTGTCCAAAAATTACAATTCTAGAAATTTCGCTTCGTATCAAAGTAGCGCATTGTACAGTTACATGATTATAATTCAAAAATAATACGAAGAAATAATTTAATACACTGTATAAATTAAATAGTTTTGATACAAATAAGATGTGTAATTGTTTCAAGTTCAATTATAGTAATGTGGCGCCTTGTGTGTGTGTGTGCGTACGAGATCATCATGTCCTCATAATGTTTATTACTTCCTACATTACTTCACTTTGAAATGTAAGTTAGCAAACTTGATAAAATACAGAGGACTCATAAAATTAGTGAGCCAGTAATGATAATAGTAATAGTAATAATAATAGTGATAATAATAATAATTTGGCTATCTGAGATAGCCATAGTTTGGCAGACTAGTATTTATACAAGGTGATGATTGAAGGTGAGATGAAACTGGCCCAGTGCTCTACCAACTGAGCTACGAGGTAGAGCACCCAATGGTCTCTCGTCCCAAACTGGCGGCGGTCCAGATTTTCATTACACTCTCAATCATCACCCAGTATAAATAATAATAATCACATTACATAAATTAATATTCTTGTAAACAGAACCAGCTGATGAATATTAGTAGGGATGAAACCTGAAGATATAACACATGGGGATTATTATTTATTTATTTGTCTCTTGGGTTCCTAATGGAACATAGGGATTCAGTAGCACATCTCCAATGTGCTCTGTTCTCTGAAATCTTTTGAACCTGGCTCCACGACAGCCCACAACCTCTCATTTCTTCCTCGCACCATCTCCTCCATGTCACCCTCAGATACCCTCGCCCAACTCGTCGCTTCCCATGCGGGTTCCACTCGAGCGACTGGCCTGACGCGTGATGTCCCCAGTTGGCCTTCTCAGTGTATGCCCAATCCATCTACACTTCCTTCCAGTGCATATTTGTTGGGTGATAGGTTCTTGGTTGGTTCGTTGTCAGACAGCCAGAGTTCCTTGTTGCTTATTCTTTCTGGCAATCCATCTGATCTTCAGTATCACTATTGAGAGTAGTTAGAAATGCTTTTCGTAACCCACCAAGTCTCTGAACCATACAGGAGCACTGACTTGACGTTGGTGTTGAAAATCCGGATATTGTTCACACTTTATGCTGAGTGCAGTGAAGTAGATCTCAACACTAGTTTCAGGCAAATAAACGCCTGTCTTGCTTTTCCGATCTTGACTTTCACATCCTCGTCTGTGCCTGTGTCGCCTGTAGTTGAAGCAGTGCTGCCTAAATAGGTGAAAGAGGCTACTTCCTTTAAGTTTCTCCCGTTCGTAATGATTGCAGCTTCTTGTTGTTGTTGGTGGTGGTAGTGGTGGTGTTGGTTGGGTATCTTCATCACCTCTGTCTTCTCTACGTTCACCTGAAGGAAGTCCCGTCTTCGCTGCCCTGCCATGCCTCTTCTGTCAACTTGTTAGTTTTTGCCTGTAGATCTTCAAGTTTGTGTGACACCAGACACAAGTCATCGGCGAAATCCAAGTCTTATAGGTTCTTTACAGCGGTCCAGCGTACCCCCCTCTTCTTGTTCTTCACTGTTTGTTGCATGATCCAGTCAACTACAATCAGGAATATCATGGGTTATAGTAGGCAACCTTGTTTCACTCCTGTCTTCACTTCAAAAGCATACACGTGGGGATTTGTAAACATCAATATATCCCTATGTGGTTGGAATCTACAACACATATGATATAGTAGCCGCGTATTATCTCTGAAAAAGCTGTCGAATACCTTATAGTGGTCATTTAATCCAACGGTGATGATTTTATCAACCAGATCTTCGTAGATGACATTCAACAAGTGTACTTGGTGATTCGCAGTAAGATTCTACTTGTTACTCTTCATCTGGATGTACCTAGACCCCAGTATGTTATATTATCCTTAATAAGACTCGAATCTATTATTCATCGTTTCAAACACCGATGTGTTATCCAATAGGCTTTTAGGTCACGACAGCCACCTCCTGTGGTATGGGTATCAATTGTTTTTTATTGATACTTCTAATTTCCCGACTTCTGTTTGCAGATGGTCTCCTATGCGGATTCCTCGACAATCCCCTGGTATTCATTATATTTTTATCTAGTTAGTGGATAACAGTGAAATTTAAATCAATAAACTATGAAATTTTGGCCATCTTTAATGATTCTAATTTTTATATGTTCAATGGATGGAAAGTTTATTTGATCTTTATTTCACAGGTGCTGTTCATTCATATTCTTGTTTATCATGTGAATGTTGATGAATATACGTGCATAGAACACCATTTAAACACCAGATACACGTATATACAAACACGTGAACATTTTCTATTGAATAGCTGACATTATAAAATACACACCATTGAAACCATTGAAACAAGTGTGAAGGATTTGCTAGTAGAAAACTGTTGATCATTGAAATGCATGAATAATTCATGAGTTTTTCTTGAATGATCTACACTGTTTCAACAAATCAATCGGACTTCGTAAACAGTATGCTGAGAAGTTTATTATATTCAGGGAATAGTATCCATCAAGAGCTTAAAAAGTATTGATTGGAACTTGTAATTTCCTGTTGCTGAACCTCTATGGGCGGATCAGATGCTATACGGATGCCGCCATACTGCTTGAATATCCATTATGTTCTGATTTGAATGTTGATTAGCAGTGGAATCCAGAGCATGGATTTCATCAGATTTCGGACTTGAAAAAAAACTCCGTTTATTTTGTGCTTACTTAATAAATTGTAAGTAGTGTGTTTTAACTTCGTAATATTTTAGTTGATATGTAATTTTTTTCTATTGCAGCTATTACGCAAAGTACAATAAATAATATGTTCATGCAACCAACAACTTCAACGTGCCAACAAAATCTTCCTCAACACGTGTGCGAAAGTTCTACATACTCTGTTGGATCCGGAAAAGTTTCCTCATTTAGCCAAGAAGGTGAAGAAGAGTTAACTGACCAGAAAGATTTCGGACGTGATGATAATCACCCTACTAAACAAATGAATGGAATCCAGTTCAGTACAGAAACACCAGTAAGTTAAATATCACATCTGGTTTACGAATGCATAAATGTTTTAATTTAATGTATTATAGATCGTTCAAACTGTAAAAATGCCTTAACATAATTGACAGTAGTTGAATAATTATGTATGATATTGTTTTAGTACTGAATGAAATTGTCAGGATCTACTTAAGAAGCCCTTTATTCCTCTGATCATTCGCCCTGAAATTTTGGGAAGGAACAAGTGAACCAACGTGCAAATATGCTATTCAATTTAAGGGGTTTGTGGGGATTTAGTGATTTTCCAGGTTGGTGTTCATCATGCACTGATATCACTTGGGGGAACATTAGAAGCCTGGGGACACTGGATAGCTGTTTCGTCCTAGTGTGGGACTCCTCAGCAGTGAGCATCTACGACCCCGCTAGGACCTCAAGGTTCCGTGACCAGCACGCTAGCACTGAACCACTGGGTTGGTATTGAATGGATGATGAATCCCAACTTGAAAATCATCAAATCCCCACAAAACCTTAAACTGAATTGATCTAGTACTCATTGCTGACTGGCTTGCAGAGGTGATTTCTGAAGTTCTAATGATAAGTCTTGACATTTGAAGCTAACTAAGTCGAACATAAGGACAGTTAATCAGTGATGAAACTGGGTGATTGGTTGCGCTACGTCGTGAACTGACAAAAGTTGGAAATATGGATCACTGGATTCCGAGCCAGTGGCTCAATAATAACGTGCTAGCTGTGGAACCTGAATATCCCAGGTTGGTGCCCTAGTGGGATGGGTTGGGTGATAGGTGTGCAGTGATGAATACTAGGACGAACAGCTGTCCAGTGTCCCCAAGTTTCCAATGTTCCTCCAATTGATATTGGTCCCTGGTGAATACCAACTTGAAATATGCAATTGGTTGGACAAGAAATAATCGAAAGGGTTCACTCTTCTGAAAAGTCCCATAGTAGTCAGCATCACTGTAACTATTGATAAACTATGGTTTTTCGTATGATATTCGATATTACAATGCACATTCTGTTATCTTACCATTCGTCAAGGAGCCGAGTGACCATCAAGTGTGAAATTTGAATGATATTTTCCAAGTCTCCACACTCACATGCATATACATAACTCAGATTACGTAAAATGGCGAAAGCATATACCAGAACTCATGTGCAATGCATGACATTCATTTTCTATAGGTATGAATGAATAAAATTCTCTAGGGTTAAGAAATACTTCGAGTTATTTTTTAACGTCAAGCTAACGTTAAGGTAATAAGTTCTGGGGTCGACTAGCTTTTTTAAAATTTTCGAAATGGTGTTGTATAGAAATGATTATTATGGACTGAGATCAGTAAGAGGACAACTTTTTTGTCCTAGTATGTAACTCCTCAGCTGTACATACCTACCACCTCTCCAGGAGTCCAGCTCCGAACCGACTACCTGGTAGTGAAGTGAACGTCAACTGAAGACATTGGTAGACAATCACTCTAAATCGCAACTTGACAGAAGTAGAAAACTGTGAACACAATGGCTAACTGGCTAACTCGTTCACCGTAACACTTAAGGATACTGAACTGGACCCCAGGTGGGGTGTCTGTCTTGGTGCTACCAGGTTTTCAATGATTCTGATTATGAAGTTACAACAAAATCCCCATAAACTTACATGACTGTTTGACTCTGTTATAGTTTGTTTAATTGTAAGACATTATTTTTCAACTAATAGTCATGAGTTGTTATCACATTTTTGACCTGTTAGATTCACTTCCTGTTTTAAATCCTAATCAATGATTGTGTACATATTGTAATTCACTAATCTAGGAAATTTATTACGTAATTACTACGATTTTTAATCCTAAAATTCTCCAACTATACATATAAACGATCATTATAATAGTTCGTATATTATCTACTGATAAAAGCAGCTTAGGAACCTATCTGTCAGTAGAAGTCTAGCAGTTTGATTCAGAATAGCAACGGGAAATTACAAGTATGAATAAAAAACAACAACGTAATACTAATTAAATTTGAGGGGGCTGTGGGGATTTGGAAATATTTCAAGTTGTTATTCATCGTAGACTGACATCAGTTGGAGGAACAAAGGAAACCTGGGAGCACTAGATGGCTAGTATGGGACCCCTCAGCAGTGCGCACCCACGACCCTGCCCTCCAGGGATCGAACCCGCCACCTTCAGGTTCCGTGGCCAGCACGTTACCATTGAGCCACTGGGTTGCGTTATATCGTGAGCTAACAGGACTTGGAAATATGGACCATTGGATTCTGACCCAGTGGCTAGCTCAATGGTAACGTGCTGGCCACGGAACCTGAAAGTCGTGGGTGCGCACTGCTGAGGAGTCCTATACTAGGATGAAACAACTGTCCAATGCTCCCAGGTTTCCTTTGTTCCTCTAACTAATGTCAGTCTACGTTGAATAACAACTTGAAATAATACTCATTATACAAGAGATGGCTATCATGCCTC